TTTATTATTATTACATTTATTATTATTACATTTATTATTATTACATTTATTATTATTACATTTATTATTATTACATTGATTATTATTACATTGATTATTATTACATTGATTATTATTACATTTATTATTATTGCATTTATTATTATTACATTTTCTATTAAATTTTATTGCGTTAATTAAATGTCTAACCAAATAAATTAATTATTACTTAATTAAAAAACATACAAAATTAACTTCAATTCATCATTCACGTGAAGCCTATCCCACGTTACGTTCTCGGAGCGAAGGCAAATATAATATCCACAATTCATGCGTCTTCTTGTATTCAGGAATCATTTTACGCCATACCTTGAAATACTATTTAGGAGAATAAAGATTTTCTCATTAGAACAATCAATATAAATAAATAATAGCAGTACCCTTGTCATTCTTGTCATATTTGTCATCCTTGTCATCCTTTTAACTGGACGAATAAATTTATAATAATAATTAATTAATAACAGATAAATATATTCTAATTAATTACCCAATATAAAACTGAATAAATCTAGAATGATCCAAAATAAGTGATAATGGTGGTTTTAATACCTATAATACCTATAATACCTATAATACCTATGGATTCTTTTTAAATATTTTTATTAATATCATCACACATGAAGCTATACCAGTTTCATATGAATATCTTTCTGGATCTTCTCCTCTATTTGATTTTTATTTATTGTTTGTGACACAATAAATTCACACAATTTCATTATTTCCCCAAAAAAAAAAAATTGGTCCAATTTTTTACAAATCTCATTTTCCGAATCACTTTCCAAATCGCTAAATCTAATACACCGGAAATTTACGCTAAACTAGATTTGGTCGATTTCTATTTACTTTTAAATTTGTCAACTTCTTTTTTTCTTTTTCTTTAACGATAAAAAGAATGTTGTATTATTTTATATTTAATATTTATTAATTTTATTGAATTCTATTAATTTCATTAATTTTAACGGAGGGAAAATTATTAATTAATAATTTTTTTTTACCTTACTCATTTTACACGTATATATATATATTTATTTATTTACATTTATATATATATATCTATCGAAGAAAAGAAAGTATTTGGGTTTTGATTATATTATATTATTTGATGTATCGTGAAATCTTGGCACAAATAAATTGAACTATTTTGTTCATATATTCCTTTCGTTATAACCATTATTATTATTTATTTATTTCTTGGTGTTATTCTCTTGTCATTTTTTTTATCTATTATTAGTAATTCTCTTTCAATATATATCTCTCTCGTTTTTCTAGTTCCTTAATCTTTTTTTTTTTTTTTTTAATTTAATTCTTTAATAATTCATAAATTCGCATTGAAAAACAAATATATAAACAAAAATATAATAATAATAATAATAATAATAATAATAAAAGACGTGGCACAAAATATATACAAATATATACAAAAAATATACATAAATATACCTAAATCGATATATATATATCAACAAATCTTCAAAGAGTTTCGAAAAAAAAAAGAAATTAAAAAAAAAAAATGGCATCACAATATCCAGGATTTCACAAACATGTAACGAGAGTATACTTTGCAATAGTAGTAATTCTCCTAATAGTATTACCATTAAGTTATTTTATAGTGCATCAACCTTCAACAGCTAAAATTATAATGATAGGTGTATTTATGATTGTTATTTATCTTATTTATTGGGTAAGTTCAATAATCTTCTCTCTCACTTTCTTTCTCTCTAAATATTTTTTATTTTAATTAATTTTTAATAATTAATACTAAAATACTTTAATTATATTTTAATTTTTTAATTATACGTTAATAATATGATAATAATAATAATAATAATAATAATAATATAATAATAATGATGATGATGATATAATAGGCAGTAGTAAGATTAAATTTTTATGGTCAACAACGACCTCAAAGAAATAATAATAATAATAATGATGATGATCATAATAATAATGATGATGATCATAATAATAATGATAATCAGCAACAACGACGACAAGATCATTCACCATCATCCACCAGATCATCATCAACTCATTCACCTAATTATCAAACATTTGATAATTATATGTTGGGAGGAGTTACAGCAGGATTAAGAAGACTTGGTTCATTTGCATCATCATCATTACGAAGAAGTAATACTAATAATAGTGATGAAGAAAATACTATTGCTATTGATGATTCTTCTATAAGAAATATGGTACAAATAACGAATCCTCCACCTACTTATTCAAGAACTTTACAAGATGTTGGATTACCTCCTCCTTATTATTCAAAATCGAATTCATTTATAGATGGTGGTGGTGATAATCGTCAATCTAGTCAATCTAGAACAGGATCGGTTATAGTTAATAATGGATCACAACAAACAAGATCCACAATATTTAGAACTATTACATCATCCAGTGCTGGTAGTGGTGAAGGAATTGGTTTACCTCAACCTGTTCGACCAGTTCCTCCAACACCATCCATTAATAATAATTCTTCACCTGCTCGACCAGTTCCTCCAACACCATCCACTGATAATAATTCTTCACCTGCTCGACCAGTTCCTCCAATACCATCCACTAATAATAATTCTTCACCCGCTCGACCAGTTCCTCCAACACCATCTTCCAGTAATAATTCTTCACCTGCTCGACCAGTTCCTTCAACACCAATTTCTAGTAATAATAATTTATCATCTACTCGATTAGTTTCACCAACGTCAACCTCTAATAATAATAATAACAACAATGGTAATAATTCTTCACCTATACGACCAGTTCCACCGATACCAACAACCTCTAATTATAACAAATCATCACCCACTCGACCAGTTCCACTCACACCATCTTCTAGCAATCATAATAATTCTTCTTCACATTCTAGATCAGTTCCACCGATACCAATAACCACTAGTAATCCCACACGACCCGTTCCACCAATACCGACGATGATAATAAATAATGATAATAACGACAACAACAACAATAATAATAATAATAGTATATTTATAGAAATTGACAATTCATTAAATAATAATAATAACAATAATAATAACAATATAGATAACTTCACATCATCATCATCATCATCATTAACCAATGGAAATAATAATAATAATAATAATAGTACGAGTATAGGAAATATACGGATAAGTCGATCATCATGAAAGAAGATAAAGTATAACATAGTATATATAGATATAGTTCATTATTGTATAGTATCATGTAATGTATATGTATAATATTGATTAAAAATAATTAAAAAAATGTATTTTTAATTTATTTAATTTAAATTTATTTATAATTAATTTTAAATTAATTTAATTTAATTTATTTTATTTTATTTCTTCTAATTTATTTATTTCTAAAAATTTTTACAGTATTTCTATTTTTTAATAATTTGAAATACTTCAAATTCATCAATAAGAAACTGTTCAGAGGTTGGCCTTAAAGGTTTCTCATAACTAGTTTGTTTACATCCGCATGGTTGTCCTACCTCAAAATGACCTTTCGGAAATAAATCACCTTTACCAAATACTGGTGAACAATAAACATTACAATAAATTGAATCTTTGGGATCAATTACTCGACTAATTATATCTTGTTTACCTTCTATATCTTCTCCTAATGAAAATATGAAACTATCTTTTAATGGTGCGGTATTTTGGGGTTCCTTATTTGATGAAATGGATTTTTTACTCCAACTTAAAGGATTATAACCTCCTAATATTTCATTACTTTTGGCTGGTTTAATTATTACTACCGCTTGATTAGATGTTAATGTATGTTGATAAAATGGTTGATCTCGACTTCCTCTTACTATCAATTTAAAATTATATGGAATATTCCAAGGTTCATAAAATTTCATTTTAGATTTAGATTGGGATTTGGATTTCTTGGATTTCTTGGATTTCGATTTCGATTTTGATTCAATTTCAACAATTTTCGTTTCAGTTTTAATTTCAATTATTTCATCTTCACTTTCTGATTTAATATTTTCTCTATTTTCTCTATTTTCTTTATTTTCTTCATTTTCTTCAGCTTCTCTATTATCATCATCACCATCGTCACCTTTTTCATTTTTATCATCTTTATCATCTTTATCTTTCCCTTCTTCTCTATCATTGTCATCATCAACATCGTCTTCTTCATTATCATCACCTTCATTATCATCATCATCTTCTTCCTCTTCTGCTGATAAATCTAATTTATCAATCCAACTAGCAATTCTTGCTGCTTGATGAGGATCTATAAGTACTGATTGAATTCTAGCCATTGCCTCGGAATAAATTGGTAAATTATAAAATGCTGACGATCCATTAATATCCGGTTCACATAATTCTAAAGGTAAAATTTTTCCATAAATTGTTACTTGAGCAGCAAAATCGGTTGCACCAATATGTCTCCATCTAATATAAGGTATACAAGGTCGTAATTTTTCTTTTAATAAAATGAAATCATCATCCCTCCATTTCGTTACATCCGGATCTAATTGGAAAGGTAATTGTCTAATACCCCATTCAACTATTCGTCTCCATAATTCAATTTCCAACATTCCGAGATCATCCTTTTGTAATAACCAAACCACTGTTTCAACTTCTAAAGCGGAAAAATCTTCCGATTTCAATAATAATTCGGGTTCTTGATAAATTGCTTCATACATGGTTTCCAATAATTTTGTACATGTCGGATATTTTTGTCCCGCATTATAAATTAATACGGATTGTTTATTTATCCATAAATGTTTCCGTTCCATTAATTTTTCTTGTAATGCTTCAACTAAAACGGTAAGGCATAATTCATCTGCTGCACCTAAAACATCTATAATTTCTACTTCTTTTAATCCTTCCACATTAATTATTGAAGTATAAATATATCTAATAAAAAGATCGTGAGAAGATTGAAATTAAATAACGAATAAAGAATAAATTAATAATAATAATAAAATCTCTTTTTATATACCTTAAAATAATTTCAAAAGTTTCTGGAGAAATATTAGGTTTTTTAAAATGAAAAAATCCATTCACTTGTTGTGCCCATCGACTAGAAAGTGCTTGCCTAAAATATGGGGATCTCATTCTTAAGATATAATAGTGAGCCTTAAATTTACGAACCGTTGGTTCCTCCCCAGCTTCAATTATTACATCATGTTCATTATCCTCGTTCAAAAGTGTCATTAAATCATTGGTTAATTCTTCAAATAACTTTAAATTTAATGCTTGTGAAGTTTTGGAAGGAGAAATATTTGTAGGTGTAACATTGGTTGAAGGATTATTATTTGAATCATTATTATTATTATTATTATTATTATTGTTGTTGTTGTTGTTGTTGTTGTTAGTGATAGTTGGTAATGACATTTTGGATTTTTTTTTTTTCTTAAAAAAAAAAAATAAACGTTATATATATATATATATATATATAATTTTTTTTTCCAAAAAAAGAATTGTGTTACTAAAAAATCAAAAAATCCTTATTTGATTCCATGTTTGGAATTTGAAATGTAATATGTAAAAAAGATATTTGATAATCAAAAGGAAAAATAAAAAATCTATAATTACATTTAAATATTTATTATAATAATCAAAAGATATATTTATCTAAAATTATATATTTTCATTATTTTTCAAATTCAAATAAAAATAAATATAAAAGAAAAGATAAAAATAAAAGAATAAAATAAAATGTTTCGTGGAATTAAAATAACTTTTAATTATCCTTTTTTTTTAAATAATAATATTATTATTATTAACAATTGTTCTTTATTATTTTCATCATTAATAAAAATATTAAAAGAAGAAAAATCTAAATTCAGGTTTTTAAAGAGATTAAATAATAATAATAATAATAATAATTCAAATTTTAGAAGAACTTATTCTTCAACTGATAAAAGCAAAAAAGACGATAATAAAAAGTTTCAGAAGAAAAAAAGTAATAGTGATGAAATTGTTAAAAATATTATTAATAATAAGGATTGTAGTAGTAATAGTAGTAATAGTAGTAGTAGTAATAATAGTAGTAGTAGTAGTAAAGAAAAGAAAGGAATCACAAATCATTCGGAAGATAAAATTTCAAAAAAGGAATATAGAGCTAGATTATTAGCTTCTTTATCACGAACGTCAACTGGTCGTTGGGTACCACCTTTTCCTCCTCCTCAAAAAATCAAACGAAAAGAGTTAAAAGAGTTAAAAGAATCTGAAGAATCAAAAGAATTCAAAGAAAAAACCAGAGGTAGAAATAAAAAATCCAAAAAAAAACAATCAACAAAATCACCTAAAAAATTTAATCCAAATAAAAAACCAAAGATGCGATGGACCGAAGAAGAAGATAATTATTTACTCTCATTAATAAAAATTCATGGTGAAAATTGGGAAAAATTATCAGAAATTCTAGGTCGACCATATTATAATATAAGTTATCGATATAATTGGATTACTTCTAAAGTTTGGACACCCGAAGAAACTGAGAAATTACATAATGCATTAAAACAATTTGGTGGTGGTGGTGGTGTTAATGATAAAAGTAATTTTATTGATAAAAGTGATATTAATGATAAAAGTGATAATGATAATGAAGAAAAAAGTGAAGAACAAGAATCCTGGAAAAAAATTAAAGAATTATTTCCTAATCGAACGATACAAGAATTAAAAAATAATTATTTTCAATATGGTAGCTTAAATCCCAAAAGTGATAAACCAATTGTGAATGTTGGAATGTGGTCAAAACAAGAATTAAAAAGATTCGAAAAAGCATTAGATAAATATGCTAATAATTTTAAGGAATATGAATTAGATGATTTTAATGAATTATGGATAAATATTAGTAACGAAGTTAAAACAAGAAGTGAACGACAATGTCGTAAAATGTATTACTGGCAACATAGTAGACCATATGATTATGAAAGAATAAAATTTCACAACAAATAAAGTTTATTATGAAATTGATAAAATAAATTTTTTTCTAAAAATCTTTGTTATGTATAATAATAATAATTTTTTATTTAATCGGATTTGTCCGTGAGTGTTGTTTTTTTTTTTTTTTAGCGCGCGTCTGTGGCACGTGTTGAATACTTTCCGCAGCATTACCCTTTTATTCTATTTCCTGATTGAAACAAAATTTAACCGAAACAGCCGAATATTTTGGGTGACACATTTTAGAATTTTCTTTTGTTAACGTAAAAAAAAAAAAAAATTATTCAGGCGAAACTCCGCTCTGTTTATTAGTTGTGCTATTTATATTATTTATATGCGTATGCGTAACGTTATTACATTACCTACATTACCTTTAATACAATGTTCTATAAAAAGTTAATCGGAATTTTTAAGACAATCAAAAATCATTAGGAGAATGGTTTTTGAAAATATAAAATCAGTAATTTCCGAGAAAATTTTCTCGAAATAGGCACATAATTATAAAAAATCCTATTTTTAAATCTCTTCTCTCCTTGGCTTTTTATGAATATTTAAATAGCATTCGATTTTATATTTTATTTTTTTTTTTTTTAAAAAAAAGCATTAACAAATAAAATAAAATAAAATAAATAAATAAATATATATATATATATTTATTTATTTTTTTATTTTTCATGTAACGAAATAAAAAGAAAAATATCAAGAAATAATATATCGAAAAATGACAGATAATAATTTTCTGTCACCCAATATTATCACTGCTTCAGGCTCAGGCTCAGGGAGTGCAACTTCATTATCATCCACTGCCACTGTCAATAGTGGTGATGCAACGAATGATATTAAAAATAAACTTTCCGCTGAAGATGAAATTGCGTTGCATTCTAAGGGAGGAATTCGATTGATTTTTAGACAATTATGGATAATGTTAAAAAAAAATTTCATATTACAAGTATTTGTTTATTTATTTATTTATTTTTGATATTATTTTATTTTTTTTTTTTTTTGAAAAAACTTGATAAATAATATTTCGATCAAATTTAATTCTTTTTTTTTCTTTTCCGTTTCTCTTTCTCACAAAAGTTAAGATATCGTAAATCAACACTTGCCCAAATTCTCATTGGACCTTTAATCTTTCTATTACTACTTTTTATCTTACAAAAATCCAATGATTCTCAACTAAAAAGGTCAAATTTGCATCCATTAACTTATCCTCTTATCGGTGTTCAACCTTGTCAGGTATGTCTTGACTTAATTACCGAAAATTCATTCCTTCGTTATGATATTATAATGTTGTTATAACATTGTTACGTTATTATATATAGGGACGCACGAGATCTGAACCTTGTATCAATTTTATGTTTACTCCAGATACAAATGACACCAGAAATGTAATGGAAATGTTTGCAATTAATAATAATAAACGGACAGGAGGAACATTAAAAATTGAAGACATTAGGATTACTAATGATAGTACGTTAAAATAATTTTCATAATAAATTAAATAATATTAATAATAATAATAATAATTTCTTCTTTTCAGATCTTGGGTTTTTACCGGACAAAAAATTTGGTATCATCCCCGTAGCGAATGAAACTATCATTTATAATTATACTTTATTACATCCCAATACAACATTATTTGCTATCCATTTCGATTTTATAACAACTACACCAAAGAATTATAGATATCAAATTTGGTATAATGGTACTCTCATGGCGAATGATACTGATATAATGGGGGATCAAGTTTTATCTTGTCAACGTGGAATTGATGAAGCAATAGTTTCTCTTGATTCAGGTCTTAATAAAGATAGTTCAAATCTTGCAACATTTGACGTTCAACTCAAAGATTGGCCTAAAGTTCCACCAACTCGACTTAATGATCAAATCGTTTCTTCATTTGGTGCTTTATTCTTTTTTTGTGCGGAAATGATTATTTTCATTAATGTTTTAAATACTATCGTAACTGAAAAAGAATATAAATTAAAAGATAGTTTATTAATGATGGGTTTGAATAGAGAAATATATTGGATTTCAAATTTTCTTTCAAATGCTTGGATTGTAGCTATTTGTTCTTTGGTGATTTGTGTATTTGGTCTCGCTTTTCAATTCTTCGTATTTAAGAATGCCAACTTTGGTGTTTTATATATTACCTTTCTTCTTTTTGGTCTTTCCATGGTATCATTTGCCTTTTTCATCACAACTTTTTGTCATCGTGCACGAGTTGCCATATTAGTTGGTATCTTTGTTTTTATCATTGGTCTTTTATTTCAATTCTTTGTATTCAGTGATACATTTTTAGGTTACATTTGGTGGAGTGATAAAATTAGTTCAGCAGGTTGGAAAGTTTTAATATTTTTTCCATTCTTTAATTTTGGAAAAATTTATTTGGATATATCACAAATGACTGCTGGTACCCTTGATTATTTTACTTTAACGGTAATTCCTGGACATGGTTTTTCATGGAATGATCTTTATTATCAAATTTCTTATGATTTATTACCTCCTTTGGATCCAGAAGGTACTAGACCTAATACACCACCTCCAATTCAAAGTTGGTATTTCTTTTTAATGAATATTGGAATTTATTCAGTACTTACATGGTATTTAGATAAAGTTATACCGAATGAATTTGGAAATTATTATAATCCACTTTTCTTTTTAACTCCAAGTTATTATGGAATTAAATTTAATCGAAAATTAAATCAACAAAATTGGTTAAATAAAAATAAAAAATTTGGTCTTAATGAAAATTTTGAAGGTGAAGATGAAAAAGTTTCAAAAGAACGAGAAAAAGCTTTTGATCCTAATCAAAATTCAGTAATTCGAATTTGTAATTTATCAAAAGTTTATCAAAATTCAATTTTTATTAAAAGTTTACTTGACAAAGTGGCGGTTAATAATTTATGTTTAACAGTTAAAGAAGGGAAATGTTTAGCATTATTAGGACAAAATGGGGCGGGTAAAAGTACGACGATGAATATTCTTTCAGGATTAACTCCATCAAGTAAAGGAGATGCATTATTATATGGATATTCCGTGAAAAGTGATATGAATTCAATTCGAAAAATTATGGGAATATGTCCTCAACATGATATTCTTTTTAATGAATTAACAGCAAGAGAACATATAGAACTTTATGCGGGTATTAAAAATATTCCACATTCAGAGGTAGATAAATTAGTTAAAGAACGTTTGGATTCAGTGAGATTAACTAAAGTAGCGAATGTACCAGCTGGATCATATAGTGGGGGTATGAAACGACGTCTTAGTATGGTAATTTCTACTATCGGAGATCCTCGAATTATATTTTTGGATGAACCAACTACTGGTATGGATCCCGTGAATAGACGTCATGTGTGGAGTTTTATTGAGAATTTTAAACAAGGTCGAGTTATTATTTTAACCACTCATTCGATGGAAGAAGCAGATGTATTGGGAGATCGAATTTGCGTGATGGCACATGGAAGATTAAGAGCTATAGGAAATTCAATTCATCTTAAAAATAAATTTGGTGCTGGATATCGAATATCACTTGTCACACATCCTAACGATGCAACAAGACTTAAAAATCTAATAGAAACCAAAGTACCCGGAATAATATTAGAAGATGATTCAGCAGGATCTTTAATTTATGAATTACCGATTAATGGATTAGCTTCTTTACCACCATTAATTCAATGGTTAGAAGAGAATAAAGAAATGAGTCAAGTTGACCCAGAAAAAAAATTATTAAAAGCTTGGGGTGTTAGTCAAAAGAGTTTAGAAGAAGCATTCTTGAGATTGTAAGTATATTTATTTATTTATATAATTTATATTTTTATTATAATTTATATATATATAATAATAATAATTTATTTTAATTTATAATTAATGATTTTATTATATTTTAATAATAGAATTCGAGAAGCAAATCCAAATGGATACAATGGTTACGAAAATACTGAAATTAATGAAAATGATGAAAATTCTGGGTTAAGGCGACGTAATATTCCGGAGAATCTGAAGGATACAAATTAAAATATTTTTATTCTTTTTGTTTTTTTTTTTTTTGGACGTTATATTTTTTATAATATTATTCAAATTTATGCATCGCATATATATGCATATATATAAATTTCATGAATTAATAATAAACATTTTGTTGTAATCTATGTAAAGTAATTTGATCCATTGTGAGAGTTAAATGGGAAAGCAATTAATGTTAGTAATTCAAAATTTTATGTAATCTGTTCTGACATGAAAACTTTACCTTATGTTATTATGAAAAAAATGGGGAGATTACATAAGTTGTTTATTGATTGGCGCCGCGTATAGGATATTAGGAAATTTGGAAAATCTTGTGACTCAAAACTGGCGCAATTATTAGATCAAAAACTTCTCATAATATTAAAATGATAGACACGTGCAATTTCTGGAGAGAAAATAGCTAAATTTATTTTACCGCCAAAAAAAAAAAAAAAAAATTTTTAATTTGGCATGTATACATATAAAGAAAAAGGGATTTTAAGTGTAACTTGGTGAAACAGGAGATTTACTTAATATATAAAATATGAAATATAAATTAAATTAATTGAACTTTTCAACAATATTCTCAAAAATAAAGAATTTTTCTATTTTTTTTTTTCTTTTGATATCTTAAAGTTTGTTTTTTTTATTGTTTTGTTTTGCTTCACCCAGCTGACCTGATCTTTGGTTTTTTGTGTCATAAAAAAATACACCAATCATTATAATTCTTAATTATTACAATTCTTTTATTTATTATAAAACTTTATTCTTTCATTATCATAATTCTTATTTTTCTTTTTAATTTTTATTTTTAATTCTCAAATGAAATAAATCATAAATTTATTTGAAAAAAATAAAAAAAAAAAAAATGGAAAAATTTAAAAATAAACGTAATAGTTATGATACCAACAATAACAACAATAACAACAATAATAATAATATCGATAATGGTTTGAATAACGCATTAAATGAAATTAAACAATTAAAAACCAAATTTTATGAATCTGATATAGAAAGAGAAGGATTAAAGACTCTAACTGAATCCTTAAAAATAAAAATAAGACAACTTCAACAACAAGTAGTTGAAAATGAAAATTCAAAAAAAGAAAATATTGCATTCAAATCTCAAAAAGAATTATTAGAAGAACAAATTGAAAAATTGCAAAATAAATCCCGAGAATATGAAAAAACCGTTCAACAACTTCATAATGAATTACAAAGTCTCACTCAACAAAATTCCCAAGTTTCTCAAGATAAAATTGAATTAGAAAATAAAAATCATTCACTTGGGTCAGAAATACAAAAATTAAAAACCAAACTTGTTGAATCTGACAAAGAAATCAATGATTTAAAATCCGAAGTAAAAAGGTTATCCGATCGTATTAATACTTCTGAACGGAATCGAATAAATATTAAGAATTTACAAGAAAATTTAGATCTTGAATGTAAAAGGTTACAAAGTGAAAATGCCGAAAAAGAAGTTGAGATTGAAAATTTACAATTAGAAATTAAAAGGTTAAAAGATAAATGCGTTACGATGTATCATGAATCCGATGAAGCAGCAAAATCTCAAGAAACACTTAAAGGCGAAATAAAAAAATTACAACTTGTTATAGTTGAACAGGATCGTGTTATGAGAGAGAAAAATCAACCAGGTACTACTTTTGTAAATTAATTAATTAATTATTTATTTTATATGATTTTTTATTTCATATATTTATTTCATAGATAATATTATACATCCCGCATATTGCAATGTATGCTCGAAATATATTGCAGGAATTAGATATAAGGCAAACTTTTCATTACTTAAACGTTCATTCTTATTAATTTATATGGCAGGCATTAATTAATAGCATTGATTTAATATTTTCAGTGTGGACATTGTGATAATTATGATATATGCGATAAATGCGAAAGTTCCAATCATAATAGGACTCACGTTTTCATCAAGATTAAACGTCCAATTGATAACGATAGATTTATTCGAACTGCATTGTTACCGGAATTTAAATTAATTGAAAAAGATGGAAATGGTAAAATTAAAGATATTATTATTATTATTATTTCTTGAATGAATAAAATAATAAAATAATAATAATAATTATTACTAGATATCGATCATCAAATTATTTGTAGTGTTTGTAATAAAAACATTAAAGGTATTCGACATAAAGTACGTAAAAAAATTTTTTTTTTTTTTTAATTAATAATTCATGTTTCTCTCTAATTCAATTTTCCATTCTTTATATAGTGCGGTCATTGTGTCGGATTCGAGTTATGTGTAAATTGTGAAGCATATCCATTTAATCTTCACGATCCTTCTCACGTTTTCTTGAAAATCAAAAGACCAGTACATATTGATTCTAATGAACCAATACTTCCTCCGGATTTTCGTCCTCTTATTAAATCAAAACATTAAATAAAAAAAAAAGAAAGGCTTTTTAAGAAATTATGTTTAAAGCATTCTCGACATTTTTAATTTTATTTTGTTTTGTATAGATATATATATATATATACTTATTTATTTGATTATTTCAAATATTATTTATTTTATGTTCAAATATAGAATAATTATGTTATGAATAAAACATTTCTAGTAAACACCCAAATTGAACTTATTTAAGTTTAATAATTTCCACAAGAAATGGGCTTATTATTTTTATCATGGAAATTTGAAAGAATTTTTTTTTTTTTTGCTATATATAGAGAGAGATTTATATGTGTTTTAATCAAATTTTTCTCTCAATCTTTTCGTTCAAAAAAAAAAAAAGAAGTTTTTATTCGTTTTCTTCGTATGCATTTAGGAGCAGCTACGCCCGCAGTGATTATCATTTCGTGTGGCACTTACAGCTGTCTATTTTATTTCAGCAGTGGAGCGGGATTAATTAAACTTTGTTTCAATAATGAAACCATGCAAAAGTCTGCAGTGCTTTTCTATCTATATGCACGTTAAAAAGTGCATTTTAATTTTTTTTTTTTTTTTTTTTTTCGACAATAATTCACATTCTTTTTTTTTGTTATTTTTTTATTATTATGTTCTCTATTGTTTCTCTATCTGATATTGTTCGTCAAGAAATTAAAATTATGAAAGTCAACCACGTATGTTTATGTTAAATTATTTGGTTTAACTTTTTTTTTTTTTAAGTTCCTTGTCGCAGAAAAAAAAAGAATTAATCATATAAGACTGAAAAAGGAAAGTAATATAGAAGATGTTGACAGATAAGTTTAAATTCTAATAATAGGTTTCTCTAGATTAAATTTACTTCACATGTGATATTTATTGTTTTAAAGTTATCCATTTAATCATTATCAATAAAAAATATTTATTTTGATTGATACGGAAGTTATTCAAAGATCTCATACATGAAACATAATGATTAAAGAATAGTCGTGAATGATTCGTTTGCAAATTGACACGTATTGTTTAACCAATTTCGGATCATTTAATTTCGTTTTTGGGCGTCATTGTTTCCGTATAATAAAAGATCAAATCGGCGTCATCCAGAATTTCGCTTCCAATCATATGAACGAATAATTTAAGAAGATCTAACCTCAAACTATATTATGTCTTGTATATACGTGTTATTGTGCACAATCTCCAAATCTCCGGTAAGATATATAAACTTCCGCCCAATTTCCCTGCGCCTCCAAAAAAATTTTTTTTTTTTTTTTTTTCCTTTTTACCTTTTAACCCTTATATCAATTCAATATAAGGGAAAGTTCGTCATTATTAAAATATATAATAATTTATTGTAGTTTCAAAGGGTTAAAAAAATCAAGTTTCTCTTTGGGGCTATAATATAATAACATCATTTGTCCAACCTTCATATTAATGATTACTAATTATAGTTTTCATATATAAAAAAGTACTCTCAAATAATAGTGTGATATTTATTCTTTTTCCTGGTGTGTTCTAATAAACAATAAACAAGGTAGTTGTAATTAACCAATTGAAATAATAAAAAAAAAATTGATCATTTTCTTTATTAATTATAATAATTATTATTTGTACTTTTATCTAAATCAATTAATAAATCCATTATGTTCTTTTTCACTAAAAAATTAAATTCATTATAGTGATAATTATATTATATAAATAATTCCCAAATGATCATTTATTTCAATTCATTAAAAAAATTATTGATAAAAATTTAATAATAGTAACATAAAAAAAAAAAATGGATTCAAGAAATTCTTCACAACTTCCTAGCCTCAAAATTGGGGTTCTTGATTTCGAAAGGGCCAAATCAATATTACCCCCGGGTCTTGAACTATTACTCGGTGAAAATATTGAATTTATAGCCAAAACCAGTGCTATAAAATTATTTGAATCTACGGGTGATGGTGGTTTTCGAGAATGCGGTGGTGGTGATTTAAATAGATATTGTAACTTGACAGATGTCGGTAATGAGGTAAAGAATTATTTTTCATTAAATTATTATTATTTGAATTTTTATTTGATATTTATAAAGTTCGTATTTATCTAAATATTTTTATTTCTACAATCATCATTTTTATTTTCATTTTATTTATCTTCATTTCTATTATTATTATTATTATTCATTTTTCCATGATCATTATTTTTTATTTTATTCTCATTTCTTACGATCATTATTTTTTGTGATGCAATTATAAGTCTACAGTTTTAATTACCAATTATCGAATCTGTTATCAACCCTTAAAAAATTCAAGAGATTCATCCAATTGTCATCGTATCAATTGCCTTTGTCATCACTATAATACGTCGTCATCTTTACCATCATCATCTCCTTGTTCTACGAATACTTCCAATATATTAAAACATCCCGCAACAAACATTTATCATACCACCCAAATTCCACATCTATCAATATCACAGATCGATGAGTCACAAGCCCAAATTACGTTATCTTTAAAATTTTCACCATCTAGATATTTATTTAAATTTTCGAAACCCAAACCAACTATGATGGCGGGAAATTTTATTACATCTCGAACAACTGCCAATTCACTTTGTCGTGATTTTACAACTATAATTAAACGATTTGTTTATCCAAGCAGTTTGGAAAATGTTTTCGCTTTTCGAATGGGTGAAGGGGAAATATTAAAAAAAAATAAAAATCACAATAATAATAATAATTATAATAATAATAATAATCATCTAAAACGAGAACAAATTCTTCAACAACAACAACAAAAAAAACGGGAATTAACATTAGAACAAAAAATATTTAATGAATTATTTGGACAATGGAGTGATGATGAAGAAGAAGATGAAGATGTAAAAAAGAATTTGAATGAATCTCGGGCTCGTGATTTGGGTTGGTCAAGGGGTTATAAAATTCATAAAGAATTTGAGAGAATGCAATTTAATGAAGAATCATGGTAATTCATATTATGTGGTCTGAATTTATTTTTTATTATTATTTTTTTTTATTAGAATTGATTAAATTTATATTAAAATTAGAGTTATATCAGAATTAGAGTTATATTAGAATTAGAGTTATATTAGAATTAGAGTTATATTAGAATTATTGTTATTAGAGTTGATATTAAAGTTATTAGATTTAATATAATTATTAAAAATTATATTAAAATGATCAGAGTTACATTAAAATTACTAGAGTTATTAGAGTTATTAGAGCTATTAGAGTTATTAATTTATTTATACTGACATATTTTTTATATTTGTTTACATATTATTTTAGGTGTGTTGCATCTATTAACGAAGATTTTTCAATGTCACCTACATATCCCAAAGAATTTATTATACCATCACAAATTTTAAAAAATGATTTAACAATAGATTCATCGACTACATCATCGTCATCGTCGTCATCATCATCATCATCATCATCATCATCATCATCATCAGATAGTTCCTCTTGCTCTGATTCATCTGAAAATATTTCTAACACCATTACAACAACTACTATTGAATCACAACAACCGAGTTCAATATTTTTCCGTAATTTAGCAAGATTTCGATCTCGTGGTCGATTTCCAGTTATTTGTTGGAAAAAAGGGCATAATGTATTAATGAGAAGTGGTCAACCTATGGTGGGTTTTTTAGGATCGAGAGGGTTAGAAGATGAAGAACTTATGAGAGAAGTTATTATTACGATTGATGAAGAACAACAAGTATTGGCAGAAAAAATGAATAATAAAAATATATTAAATGATAAAGTAGAAAACAATCATACATCTATAAGATGTGTCGATTTATATGAACCTTGTAATATGAAATTATGTATATTGGATGCAAGGAGTTATGCTGCTGCTTTTTCAAATGGATATCAAGGTGGCGGATATGAGAAAACTGGTATTTATTATATATTTATTATTATTATTATTATTATTAATTTTATATATTTATTATATATTTATTATTTATTATTATTATATATTTATTATATATTTATTATATATTTATTATTATTTATTTATTTTTTATTATTTATTATTATTATTTATTGTGATATATTTATTTATTAATATATATTTATTTATTTTATATTTATTTTTTTTAAAAAAAATCATTTAGAACATTACCCTCCGAATACAACTCTTCAATTTCTTGGACTTCCCAATATTCACGTTATTTCCGCATCTCATACAGCTTTATTACGTGCTATTAATACTAATGCATCATCATCTAATTGGTATTCAGTATTGGAAAATACTGGATGGTTAGGACATGTAGCTGATTTACTAAGAGCTGCAGGAGGGAAAGATGGTGTTATAGGTAAATTGGTTGACGAAGACGCAAGTGTATTAGTACATTGTACAGATGGTTGGGATAGGTATTTTATATTTTATATATATATATTTTCTTTTTTTTTTCATTTTAATATTCTTTTAAATCTGATATATATATATATATATTTTTAATACTTTCTTTAATTAAAGAACAACACAACTAGTTTGTTTGTCTCAAATTATGATGGATCCTTTTTATAGAACGATAAAAGTATGTATTATTTAATTATTTAATTATTTTTGTTTTTTGATATAAACAATTTAATGATAATAATAATAATAATAATAATAATAATAATAATAATAATAATAATAATAATAATAATAATAATAATAATAATAATAAATAATAATAATTAAATAGGGTCTACAAGTGCTTATAGAGAAAGAATGGATAGCTTTTGGACACCCTTTCCGTTCACGTAGTGATTTACCATGTGACCTTCGAAATAATGATATTATGTCTCACGCAAAAGGAAAAAGTTCATCATTACGTTCTCGTAAAGAACCCCCACAATTACCTCCAGCACCTGCCCCCGTATTTCTATTATTCCTTACTTGCCTTCATCACCTTTTACAACAATTTCCTTCCGCTTTTGAATTTAATGATTTCTTTTTATTATGTCTTGCTCGAGCTGCTGCAGGTAATTCACCTTATGGAGATTTTATATGTAATACAGAATTTGAAAGGGAAACAGTTCAATTAAGAGAAAGGACTAAAAGCATTTGGACATTATTTAAAGAACGTAAACAATGGTTTAGAAATACACATTATCAAAGAAATCGACCTTCTGATTTAATTCGTCATAATGATCATAATAACACGTGGAATGATCATTCGTGGAAAAAAGATGTATTAAAACCTGATACTGGAGCAAGAGTAATTACTTTATGGAGTCAATATTATTTTCCTAAAGATGATTATTCTATTGCATTATTATCTGCACCTTCAGGAACAGAAGTTTCACTACTTAGAAATCCTACACAACAATATCATCCATATCATCTTGGAGGATTTCCATCAGAATATTATTTAGTTAGTTTATTTATGAAAAGAAGAAAACGAAGAATTGCGGAAAAAGTTTGGACAGTTTGGAGATCATTTGTTTTAGAAAAGAAACGAAATTCTTTCGAAAGAGATTCATCATCACAGAAAGATAATAAAATAAATGAACGAAATGATACAACAGTAGAAAATGAAGATGAAAAATGGGATATTCTTGGTAATTCCGAATGGAAAGATAAAGGGAACAACAACAACAACGACTACGACAATAAAAATATGAATAGAGATTCTAATAATAATAACAAAGCTCATGTTTCTTTAGCTGTACCTCAAAAGACTATTCATGATATGCAATCAAAAATATCACTTTCATCACCTTTATCAATGAGTCCACCAACTTATACACCATTTAATGACTTTCTACAAGATGATGATGATATAGATATAGATATAGAGAAGGAAGCAAATTTAATGATTTCTAGTGAATTATGCGAAAGTCAATTTCTTGAATGGGTTCATTTATCAGGTCAAGATGAAGATTCCGATACAGCAAAAATTTTAGCTGAATTACTTAAAGAAGCACAAATGGATGAATATTATTGTCAAAATATAATTCCAGAAAGTGAAAGACTTAAAGATTTATTAAGAGAAGCACAAATTGATAAACAGGTTTTTTATCAAAATTTTTGTCGAGATAACGAAGCATTAACAGAAATGTTAAAAGATGCTCAAACTGAAAATCCTTATTTAACTAAAAGAATAAGGAGAACGAGTAGTACAAGTAATAGTAATAGAAATCATGTAACGACAGAAAATTCAACGACTACCCGTCCAACATTTACTTTACTTTCATCATCTTCACCTTTGCCTTCACTTTTGCCTTCGCTTTCACCTTTACTATCTTCACCATCTTCACCACTTTCACCATCTTCACCATCTTCACCATCTTCACCATCTTCACCATCTTCACATATTTCAATAAATTCCATAAATACAAATAATAATTCTTCTTGTAGTGTATCCGTCACCAATAATAACAACAATAACAATAATCACAATAATAATAATAATGACAATTCATTACTTGCAGCAAAAAGTTTTATAAATGTAAGTAAAATTCCATCAAGACCAATTGTTATAAATTGTGCTGAAAAAAATAAAAGTTCATCAGATCTCAGCAGTGAATTTGTATTTGTGTAACTAATATTAATAATATTAGGATAAAAGACAAGGTGAAAGGAAATCTCTAGGATAAAAAAAGTGGATACTAGATTAAAAAAAGAAAAACCTTTCTTTAGGATGAAAATAATGTTGTTAAAAAAAGAAAAAAAAAAGATTACATAGTTTATTATAATATATTATCACAATTATCACAAGGTATTACCAAAAAAAAAAAGGTTACATCAAGGGTGTTGGGAAATATAGATCTATAATTAACATCTTTCTTCTTCATTTTGAGAATAAAAAAAAATATTATCTTTTCATTTTTTTTTTTCATTTCAATTTGTAGTTATAGTCATCACTTCATATACAATATATTTTTGTAATCATTATTTTCATTCATAGATAATTTTTTTCTTGGTAGGTAACTTTTGTTTTATCTAATTCATTTTGATAATTCAAAAAAAAAAAAAAAAAAAAAGAATTAGGTTATATTATTCATTATTTTTTATATACATAACTTCATTTTTATTTACTATCAAAAAATCATATTATATTATATTCGGTATAGAAAGAAAATATTAAAAGTATTATTTTTATAGGATATTAGAATTTTATATTTGTATTAATTTAGGGAAAAAAAAAATAAAATTTATATATGATATACAAAAAATGATATTATTATTAAATATCATAAGAAAAGAATATAATAAAATGTTACCGAATATTCGGATTTTAAAAAAAATGTCATGATTTCTTTAATGATGAAATGACACAGTATTAATAATGATGAATTGCGTCAAAATTACATCATTTATTTTATTTATTTATTTTGTCATTATATATAAATAGTAAAAAAAAAGTTTTTCTTTCTCACAAAAATAAAAAAAATGTCTGAAATAAAACCTTCGTCCGGAATTAATTCATCCAAAGATCATGTCTCTAGTGTCAGTAATGCTCCTACTGATATTGCAGGTGCTCCTACCACAACAGATAAATATGAAAATACGCGTCACTTGAATTATGGTCAAACAAAAAATCAAGATAGTAAAAGAGATATAGTATCGTATGTATTCTATTTATTTATTTTATATTATTGTTATTATTATAATTATTGTTATTATTATTATTATATTATTGTTATTATTATTATATTATTGTTATTATTATTATTATAGTTCCAAAGCACCTACTCGTCAATATTCTGCAAGTTCTGATTCAAAACCAATATTGCACCATACATTTTTTGAAGAGTTTAGAGGTGGTCAAAGTGGTGATGACGTAATTGAACGCGAGGAAAAAAAAGAGAAAGAAAGAAAGGAGAAAGAACGGAGAGTTGAACAAAGAAAAAAAACTATATAAATATATAAATAATATTTATTTTTATGATATATCAGACTAGTGATGTAAACCTTTAGGAAATATATTATATATAAAAATTCGCATATTGATATTTTAAAATTCAAAAAAGGAAAATTTTCTTTTTGTGAATTTCGACGTCTTATGTAATTCATCGATAGATCACAAGATTCATATGTTATAATCATTGATTCCGAGATTATTTCTAATATGGTAACTTGATATATTGTGTATTAAATAAAACATTTGGATTATTTTTAAATTAAGTTTATTCCTATTCTTGAGGGTACGATTTAATAAATTACCCTTTTTAGTCATCGATAATCTAATTGTCAAATATTTTTTTTTTAAAAAAAAATCTAGTTTTAAAAAAATGGTACTTTAAAATTTTATTTTATTTGAATCATAATACAAAAATGGAGAGCGAACGATTAGCAGAGGGAAAGATTTTCTATATTTATTACTACGTAACTTATTGAATGATCTATAATAAAATTCCTTTTGTTAATATATTAATCTATTTAAACTACATCTTGTCTTCTATTAAAACTTATAAGAATTTAATTGATAAATTCTATGACCTGAAGAAATACTAAATTGATTTGCAACCATTAATGCATCTTATTAAAAAAAAAAAAAAAAGTGTTAGGGTTGGGATTATCTATTGGATTTTAAAAATCAAAGAATTCTAGAGTTGATAAAGAAAAAAAAAATAATACAAGTGTACTAATTTTTATATATTTGAACAATTAAGTAAAATGTATTAAGAATTGTAATGTACAAAAAAAATATGCATTATAATTTTACTGTTCTTTATTAATGATAAATTCTGCAAACACTTTTAGTAACAATTATTTTTTGTTTGACAGTTCCACCTGGAATTGTTTTCATAACAACTGGTCCTGCCTTGGTCATATATACTATTGTAGTCTTTGAAGATGGTACAATAGTTATCATTTTGTAAACCATTGAGGGGGTACAACTAATTGTTTTAGTTGATGTAGTTGTAATACATTTAGTTGATGTAGTATAAACTGTTGTCAGTGATACTCTCTTGAAGGTATGTGTTATGTATTTATATCCAGTTGTAATAGAGAATACTTTAGTAAAACTATTTTTGGTTTTAGTCTCAGTAGTTAGTATAGTTGAGGTTTTTGTGGTAGTTATATATTTTGGAATGGTTCTTGTTGATGTCACGCATGTTATTACAGGTATGGTATTGGATTTTGTCTTAGTACTGAAAGATCTCGAAAGTATAATTGTGTTAATAGTCCTCGTCTTAGTTGAAGCATCAGTGGTAGTGATACAAGTAGTTGTTGAAAAAGTTTAGAAAGTAGTGCTACAAGTAGTAGTTGTTTTAGTTTCAGTGTAATTCTTGCAACTGGTAATTGCATCATTTGAAGTTGTATATTCTATGGAAGTTTCAGTTCCAATATGAGGGACTATAGAAGCTTCACTTGATGTATACGTTTCCGAGATGTAATGTGTAGAAGTTTCTACTTCAGTTGTCACAGCAGTCATGCTGACAGTTGTGAGGTGAGTTAGTGTGCTGGTGATATATATTAATTTAGTTTTTGACTCAATTATGGTATCGGTACAGGTTGTAGTCAATGTCTCCATAGTAGTGGTGAAAATAGGATCTGTTATAATTTCTGTAGAGGAGGTAACTGATCAGTTTTTGTGTCTGTTGATTTTAAAGTAGATGTTTCTGTTGTAGTGGCAGTAGTGAATATAGTTGATAATTTAGTTAATATGGAAGAAGTGGATTCAGTTAATATTTCAATCTGTTTAGTAATAGTGCGCATAGGTAATGTTCAATTTTCGTAGAATTAGTGGATTCAGTTAACACTTCAGTCATCTGTGTAGTGAATAGCTCATTGATAGTAGTTGTCGTAACTGTTGCTTCGATTACTGTAAGAATTAAAGTTGATGTAGATGTAGTCGAACTTATTAAAGTGATAGTTTGCGTGTTGATATCAATTTCAGTTGTTATAAAATTTTCAGTGATGGTGGTAGATTCCAGATAAATAGTAGTTTTAGTAATGAAAACAGTTTCTGATAAAGTCAAAGTAACTGAGGTAATATTGGTCAAAGGTTCTATTATGGTTTCAGTACATGTAAAAGTTATGGTTACTATATTGTCTTCTATTAAGGTAACTGTACTAGTGGAAATCACAGTTGTTGTGAAAAAGATTGAAGTTTCTGTTGTAAATGTGATTGAAGTTGAAGTACTCAAGACAGAACTAGTATCAGTTATGGTTATTAATGAAAGTTTTATCATTGTGGTGGTGATATCAGTTTCTGTTGTATATTCTGTAGTAGTAATTGTAAAATAATTTGATACACTTATGTAATTAGTAACTTCAGTAGTTATGGTTTTAGTAGAAGAAATAGTTATACTTTCAGTAATGCTAATGGTATTAGTATTTGTGATAGTTGTAAGGAAAAATGAAGACACAGTTTCAGTTTTGATTGTTTTAGCAATTGATGTTGATATTTCTAATACTATTGTTGATTTTATATATACACTGGTCGAAAATTGATAAAACATATACATATCAGTAGGGTTGTTAACCGGAGCATAATGTTCTGGCATCAACCCAGGTTATGTATCACTCCGTCACGGAGCGGGTTAAGATTTCTAATTTTTTGTACTAACCCGGAGCAAATTATTTATTATAACCCGGGTTACTATATAATTTTTGCTCCGGGTTGCTCCGGGTTACTCCAGGTTGCTCCGGGTTGCTCCAAGTTATTTTAGTAATTTGATTGGTTAATCAATTAATAAAATAACAATT